TTCCTTTAACTCCAGCAGTAAAGCTGTAGCTGTGTCCTTCAATGTCGTTCTGATCACTTTTGGTTCCTTTGTTTTGTCCAGGCTACCCAACCTATAAAGAGAAGGTGAAGCGGCGTCCTGGAGGTCGCCCGGAGGTCATTTACAACTATGTCCAGCGTCCCTTCATCCGCATGTCCTGGGAGAAGGAGGAAGGGAAGAGCCGCCACGTGGACTTCCAGTGCGTCAAGTCCAAGTCCATAACCAACCTAGCTGCGGCCGCCGCAGACATTCCCCAGGACCAGCTGGTGGTCATGCAGCCTCCGGGGCCGCAGGTGGACGAGCTGGACACTCTGCCGCAGCCGCCGGGCGTCAACGACCCCTACCAGGCACCGCTCGGGCAGGGGCCGGAGAACAACGCGGGCCCTCAGCTGGCGCAGGGCTACGAGGGCCCGCACCAGCAGGCTCAGGACTGTACGGGCCAGGCCCCGCACAGCCTGGCCCTCAGCAACCATCAGCAGCAGCAGCAGCACGGCAGCAGCCACACTCAGGCCACTTACCACTACGAGCCGGACCCAGACACACCGTCACCCTCTGCGTGAGACTGGCTGCACCCTGAATCCCCCCCCCCCACTGCTGCGTTCACACTGACTGCAGCAAGTGCTTTATTCTGACATCAGTTCGGAGCCCGGAAACTAAAAGACAAACAGCTTTCACATAGTGGTTCTCCGAGCATCGATTGTAAAACCAACACACTGACACTGGGAGGGACGCCAAGAAAGCACAGAAACCTCATTGGCCTTCAACAGCCAGTAAGCACACACAGTTTAACCTCTCTGCAACGATTAAAGCACTTCTGGCCACTTGTTGCTTTCAGTGTGAACGCAGACTTTGCCCCACCCCCACTGCCCCACAGTCCCACAGTCCCCCTCACCTCCTCCTCCTGAGTGGCAAAACACCACTTTGCCTTCTGTTGCACGTCTGCTGCAGCCTCTCTGTCGACGCAGCGTCCGAATGAGCGAGAACCGATCAGCAGCGAAGGAAGGATGACGCACATCAGCAGGCCTCCTCACACACTTTTCACGTTTGTTTATTTACCTGACCAAAGGAGAGTTTTAGTTGCACTCTGTGTGCATGTGAAAAGACAGAGTGCTGTATTACATTATAATGAAGTGTGTGTGTTGCTGCTGGGATACTGTACCTCACTGGGAAAGTGGATTTCAGTGCCTCTTCATAGTCTTTATTTGGATGCTAGTTAGCAGTGAAGATTCACTTTTTCCAGCGCATGTGAAGGCCTTTGATTGAAAGGGTTTTTGTTTTACACAACATATATACATTTTTTGTTTTTTTTTAAGAAAATGTTCCACCCCCTTTGCTCTTTCAACCAGTTGATTTGGTTCCTAGTTTACATTAAGTCCTTGTTTTCACTTGTTTGCATCCTGGCTGAGCTGCTCTGCACAGGTTCATCAGCACTGCTGTGAGCACAGGATGTGAGAAGAGATGTTGAACACAATGTTTTCTAATAAATGGTATTCACAACACTCTGGTCTGAGATAATGTCGCTTCCTTATTTAAATCTAGTTGAAAGGTAACAAAAAGCTGCGGTGTCTCGTCTGGTGTCGGTTCTAATTGGTCTGCCCTCAGATATGGATTCAACACTATAAACCTTCATATTTGATAGAATGATTACTTCCACTAAAACAGAACTGCTGGTGGAGAGGAAAATGCTCATTTATTTGCCTTAAAAACATGACTGCACAATATGAATTAGTTAATTAATATACTGATACTGATATTTTATTGCTAACATATAACCATGCTTACATGTGTTGTCTCCATTTCTTACCACCACGTATCAGGCACCATTTTGATACTGTTCTTTGAAGCAGTTACTGGTGATAAGATGTCTGATCGGTTCCCAACCTTTTTCCTTAAGGGAACTGACGACCCCTGACGAAGTGACACGTTGTATGGCTATTTCATATGATATTCAGAACTGCACAATGAACCCAAATAGTGAACACAGTAATCGTAAGAAGTTTGTGTCGAGTGATTTTGAGCAGAATATTTCCTTTAGGGAACCCTTTATTCAATTCTATTATAAAAATCATTTTTAACCATACATTTAATCATACACACTTAGTAGGCTTCTCTTTTGACAAATTCAGTGTGCTCTTGTCCCTGACGCTTGACCATTGTTCTACAATTTACATTTACTTCTCCTCACAGAAGTAACCAGATGCTGAGATATAGCCCTACTGTGTATATTTTTTAAAGCTTTATTGGGAACCACTGGTGTAAAGGCTGATCTTATCACTGTGTAATGACTCAGCATCACAACAGAAATATTCTGCTGTGAAAAAGACAAAACTAGTTGCACTCCGAGGCACAGAACCAAAACCAGGAACCTTTTGAGCTTTAACTTTTAAACCAGTGTGGGAGGTTTTGTGAAGGTTTGGCAGGGGATGAAAGCAGCGTTCAATAGCTGGAGATGACCGGACTCTGGAATGAGGATCGGAGATTAAATATGGATGAGCTGCTTCCACGGTAACTATGATTATTTAATGCATGAGTTCAAAGTGTATGCTCATGCTTTAAATAACTTTTTGGCCCGTAAATATCAAACCACGAATAAGCTTACAGGGTTTCCAGAGACTCTGAATACTAAGTAGCTCTGTCACAAATAATGAAAATAAAAATCATCTTCTGAGCATTGGGGATGTATACACGAGTGTTGTGTTCACAGACCCCCGTTCCTGGTTTATAAAGACGCTTGTGAAAGCAGTGGCAACATTCAGCATCTCGCTCTGTGTGCAGAGCTTCCAGCAGCTGGATGGCAACATTATATAAAAATACCACCGGGCTGCACTGATTGGCTGAGAGAGGAGAGCCGGAGTCATAAATGAACACGCGGAGAAAACCTTTACCCGCTCAAGACAACGTTCTGTAGAGCACATCAGCAATAAAGCTAGTAACAGACACAGAATGACAGAAACAAATAATTTTATTTTAAAAATATTTCACTGCTGATACATACAATACACTCATCATACTCATATATATTTGCATAAAGTATACTCTTAACATGATAATATTTAAAGATTTGATACATTATTGTCAGGTGGGGAGGGGCATATCAACAAGGGGGACACTTTATTGTAGTGTGTAGCGTAAAAACATTGAAACAGAAAACCACTAGAACAGATACAGAGGGGACCTCGCCAGCTGCTGAGTGATTGGAGGAGGACAGGAGGGGGGGGCGGAGCCTGAGCCTGGCAGGTAACAGTCCTGTTTGAACCCAACTGTACACTGACCGAGGGGTTTACAGATGAGCAGCAGAGGAACTGCTGCGTCTTGGACTTTTGCGTCCTGGATTGGACGTTCAGCCACGACTGGTTGACGTCAAAGTCACACATTAAAAACTTTCCGCCCACATGGAAAGAAAATGTGTTTGCCCAGTTTGTGCCCTCTCATGAATTAACAATACTGAAGTCATACAGCCAAACGTCTGTTTGTTGTTGGTGTTTTTACACAAATATCCTTGGAGGCGTGAAGTTGCTGAACAACACTTGCTGCTGTTCTGGAAACTTGATTACTCCTAGTTTGGGGGGGGAAGAGGTCAACACTTAAAAAAACTCAATAAATCTGCTCAGGACCATGTGGGTGTGGTTAGATCAGATCTGACTGACAGTGACCAAACGACCCACCAACCGTCACCAGATTCTGGATCACCGAGACAATACGTGACATCACCTTTTTCCAACTGAGCCCCGCCCACTTCAAACCAGAGAGAAAAGCAGGAAGAAAAACCTCCAGGAACTCCTCTCACAGTGAGAAGCTGATTAAGAAAACTGAATTTCAGGGGCATTTAGTGCCATTTTTTTTTTCATACAGAATGAATTATTCTTCTTGTGCGGTACAGAGGAAACTAAAAGTTATGTAATTTCCAGCTACCTGGATTAGGAAATACAGTTGCAATTTGCAAACTATAAATCTTTTTTTATCATTTATTCACCCAGATGGTTGGACGAGCCTTGGGAGACTGGATACCTTCAGAACAGCAGCGAGTGTTGTTACACAGCTTTGTGAGACTTGAATGTAAATGATGAGAGGCACAAACAAGAAGCAGGCTTGCACACACGATGCATATTTGCAGAATGCATTCGAATATGTAAAAGGTGGCCACTTCGTTTTACTTTACTGTTAAATGTATTAACAATGCACCTAAAAAGCATTTTCAGTGTATTACAGGACATTTTTCCTTTCTATTCTATATATTGGAATAGATATATATATATATATATTTTTATATATATATTTTTTTATATTTTAACAGTTCACATATATCCTGTAAAATATCTCTCAGTTGGGATCTTTCCTGGATTACTTTTTCTTGAGACATTTTGGCATTAACTGAAATCATTTTTTACAAATGCATTCAGCACATCAAATGCATTTCAAATGTATATTCCATACGGGCAGGCAAGCAGGACAGCTGAGACTCCTCTCAACGTGTCCACCTCTAACCACACGCCGACAAAAGGTCAGCGAGCGGCAGAGAGCTGGCGAGGTGAAGAGGTTGTGTTGAGGATATTCATTATGATGGAGGAAAAAACGGGACACTGAAATGAAGAATTCCATTCAGGCGTTCCTGGCCGTCCCTCCTGACCCTGTTTGTTGTCACAGGACATGATGGGAGAATGTCCTGTTGTCCCCGTTACAAAGTCCCACTCTGCTGGATCTCTACGACATTTACCTGTTTCTATACTCGCCCCCTGTCTACGTTATAGCCCTCTCTGCTAACAAGGTAGTTTGCATTGACAGTTATGTGTAGCCACAGAGTACATCTGTGTATTATCAAGTGCTAAAAACAGACCAAATTCATGAGTAACTGCAGGATTAAAAAAAGGAAAAAAATCCACATACTGTAAATCTGTCATTTTTGCAGCAGAATTGAACTCAGAGGTATTTTTTCTTTAACTTCTCCCAACTCCAGCAAAACAAGTTAGACGGGGGCTGCTCCTAAATTCAAGCCCAGGTACTGATGACGGACACGTTGGGTCCGTTTTTTAAATATTCAGGTCACAAAAGGCAAAGAAATCTGTTCTCGGGGCCTGTTCTGAATCAGAGTACTGATCCAGAGTCAGCCCTCCTGTTGAGGGAATAGAGCTTAGTGACTGACAGTCTTAACTGCATCTTAAGTGCTTCATATGGGTGTCGAGGTGAAGATGAGGAGGTGGAGACCCTGTGACCCAGACCACCAGGTTTTTACGTTAGCGGGCTGATGCTAATTAGCCTGCCAGCACGTGTTTACCTGTAAAGAGCCGTGTGTGAGGAGCAGACCTCGGTAAAATGGCAGTGGAGAACATTTCCTCGTGGAGGAGCGCTTGAATTGTCTTGGGTTGCAGTTGAATTGCTCTCTTTTGAGACTGGAAAACTGCCGCAGAGACGCCAAGCGCGCCGTTACAGTCGCCAACACGCACCTGCGCACCGAGCTGCTGCTCCCACCAGATTCAGCTAACCTCCTTCAATCCGTTAAAGTCGGATTCTTTGTTGTAACAGTCGTCAGAGCTTCACTCCAGCCGTTTGCTGTCAACGCTCAGAGGCTAAAATGTGCAGGAGAACAAAGCAGTAGAGGTCTTCACAAGTCCTGATGGTTTCTAATCACAGAACTGGGTCCAAATGATGTGCGGTGTGGGGGCCTGTTGCATCGCCTAAGTGGATCTGATCAGCACTGATCACATGATGCGTCATAATCATCGTTTTCTTGGCTTTTTTTTGAGTGTGAACTGTTGAGTCCATCCCTCTGCTGGGAGGTGCAGCTTCTCCCAGCATGCACAGGGTGAGAGACACCCTGGACAGGACGTGGGTCTGTCACGGGGCTGATGCCAAAGCTGTGTCCCGATTCCATACGACAGACTGACTGTGTACAGTATACACTATGTTTTTGTTTGTTAGCACACAAGAAATCAACATATGCGAGTGTTTCATACTAACAGCAGATTATACAGTAATCCAGATGTTGCAGCTTTAACCCTTCCTGGTGCTCACTCACAGCTATTTTGGATACCGTCTAGTTGTGAACCTCCATGTCTTTGCGCATTGCATTGTGGGAGAATTTCAACAGCACACACAAACGTAGTATATAGATCACTTTTCCAGTGATCATACTGAAAACCTTCTTAGAGTTAGCATGAAGTATGGGACTGGGACACAGCTCGCCCCCCCCCGGGCTGTGAGGTGGATTCAGGGTAGTGGCCGCAGTTGGGATCGACTCAAACTGGCCCAAAAAGGCAGTGGTTAAACAATTATCATATTTGTCTGCGGGTGAGAAACACTCCAACATGATGCTTTGTATTATTAGAATCTGAGCCACAAGACTACAAGAGCCGAATCAGTCGATCATTCTCGCGTGTGGCAGGAAGTCGGCTGTCTCAGCGAGATAAGGACTCGCCCTCTATGGGCCCAACGTGGAAGTTCAAGCTCATACAACACTTCTTTCTCCTTTTGTGTTGATTGGTGACGCATCACGCTGCTGCCAGTGTCGATGCGCTCGCTCTATTTGGGCGTGCTTGGGTCGAATCACACTTACTGAACTTACTGAGGTACTGTAGGTAGTTTTAGGCAGAAATGAATCTGTGTTTTAAACTCAGGAAAAATACAGAATCTATTCTTCTGGGAAAATATAATCTAGCGAGGATGAGCTTTAGAGTAGCTTGGAGCTAAATGCGTCAGCGTTCATGTTAGTTTAGAAAACAGCAGCTAGGTGGCTTTCTCAGAAAGGAGTTTGTCATCGTTTGAATGAACTGAAGTTCACCTGCTTGTGGAATCTTGTGGCTTCGGAATAAAGAACCTCTAAGAATCTTCCAAACAAATCTCCAGAGGGTACCTGCTGTGTGTTCATTTCCCATGCTGGAGATCAGCTGGCGAAAAACAGCCAATCGACATCCTGCGAGGAGACTTGGAACGTACGGTCAGAGGTGAAGAGAGGGCTGCGACAGGAGGCGGAAATCGAGCGCTCCCCACCCGACACACTCCAACCCCCGCGTCAAAACTTCAACCGCTGTCTGTGAACGGAGTCCTGTGTTGGTTTGGGTGGTTGGCTGTAGACCTGGCGATGACAGAGCCCAGAGCCACGGTTAGACAGAGTTCAGCCCATCAGCAGACACGTTAGCACCGCAGTCTTCGAACTTGAGATTCCATTTGCTGCACTATTGTTAGAGTAATGGTCTCTCGCCGTGGCAACGTAGGGAACGCCTCGTCTGCAGGCAACTGACACTGCAAAAAGGATCATCTTAACACGCCATCTGGAGCCGGATTTTTATATAAAAATCCTTTCTGTTTGCCCCAGAAAACATTCAGGGTCACTTGTCCGCCTACAGGGAATGATGAATCAAAAAGTAGGAGTGTAATCCAAACAGCAGCGAGAGCCTCATCTCCTGTGTGTGTAAAATGTTCAGTATCTACAGCCTTTTCCGATTTAAAATATCATTTGTTGAGATGGACATTTTTTGCAGTGTAGTTGTGTAGGGGGGGCAGGAAACATGGCGGCCAGAATTCAAGCTGACTGAACTCTCTCCATCGGTGGCTCTGGTGCTAAGAGGGAGTTCTCCCTCTCTCCCTCCGCTTCTTCCCTTCCAGCTTCCTCACAAAGGCCAGGGCAGGTCACTGAAGTCGACGGGGCCGCCCAGGCCGGCGTCCGCCTCCAGCAGGGACATGATGACCGCCATGGCCGCCTCGTCGTTGCTGGGGCTGCTGGAGCCGGGGTCGTCCATGATGTCTATGCTCAGGTGGGAGTTGTCACCTGGACGGAGGACGGAGTCATTGAGAAAACACTCAAGTAAACGACAAGAAAGTGTGTTTAGTGTGCGCGTTTCGTGTGCGACTTACTCATGATGGACTGGTTGGAGTAGGGGTAGCCTACAGAATCAGGTCCAGGAATGATCCCTGTGCTCGGCAGCTCGGGTGTCCCTCCATTCTGAATCTATAGACGTGACACACACACACACACAGACACACACGTATCAGGTAACTGTGAACACAGATTCAGTTTCAAGTTTTCAGTTTTCGGAAATACGCTTGTTGTCTTTCACATTGACTTCCTGGAGTTTCTCTTGTTGCCCGACAACCTCACAGTGATAACAAGACTCCAAGCCAAGCCAAGAAATAGTCCGGCACATGACCCCCAGTAGAAACACAACCTGTCGTCTTAACACTGCGGCTTTCATACGGACAAACAAGATACAAAGTTTTAGCCAAAGATCTGAAATTCGGAAACGTGGGCTATTTGATAAAATAAAAACCACTAAAAAGGACTAAGGCTGGGTTCTGATAAGCGGTTCCATTTTGGCAAAACGCCTGGCTTCACTAAGCTCTGAGGCCACCAGATCTCTGCAACTCAGAGTGTTTCATAAGCAAAGAGCAATGTACAAAACATTACGTCATTTAAGAAAATACCAAATATGTACTCTACCTGGTTAAATTTCATTAAAATGGAGGATCTTTGAATATTAGTTATGCTTCTAAAATATGAACTTATTGAATCTGTTTAAGTTACCTTTTTAACAGCTTTGAGCTGCAAAATAAGGAATTAAAGCTGCAAGCAGCATTGGGCAGGACCTCGCCATCAACCTACGTCGGGGCCTGCACGGTGGTCGCCTGTCGCAGCCGCGCCATGCCACATAGCCCCACGCCTAAGTCCTCTTCGCTGTAATGCCGAGGGAGACCACTCTATGTTGTCACGCGTTTCAGACACCGTGCAAAAGACTTACGCGTTCAAAACTTCACGTAAATCAGATCAAAGTTGCCATGCATCGTTTATTTCCTGTTGCCAGTCGGTGGCGTTATCACTCTATCTGAATATTGTCATGTAGATGTGTTCAGTGTGGGACTGTTACAGAATATGTGAAGTTTAGTGGAGATTGGACATTGTACACTGAAGTTGAGTACTATCTGTTTTATGGCGAATCG